AGGAAAGGATCGATGTGGATATGTAAAATTTTGCACCCACAATTTGGATGACTAATCCATATGTCTAATTTGGATTTGAGGTGTCAAATCTTAGTTCTGGGAGGTGGTGCACCTCGACAACATGGGATGCAATGAAAGGATTGTTCTCAGCTATTAAAATAAGTTTCAAGAGGCAGGATTAATTGTTTCAAGAGGCAGGATTAATTAAAATTTTCCTTGTACTAAATAAATGTTCAAGGAAAATTAGAGTGATAGGGTTGGTGTAGCTCCTGTGACAGACAAAATTAGAGAAAGTCGTCTTAGATGGTTTGGTCGTATTAAACGTCGACCATTAGATGATCCGATTAGGAGAGTAGATGTTTTAAATTCGATTAGTGTTAAGAAAGGCAGAGGTAGACCTAGGAAGACTTGGGCTTATTGTATTAAAAATGATCTTAATTTACTAGAACTAAATGAAAATATGACACTAAATAGGACGCAATGGAGAAAAAAGATTCATGTAGCCGACCCCACGTAGTGGGATTAAGGCTTTGTTGTAGTTGTTGTTGTTTCTTTTGATATTCCTTAGGTGATTTTCTAAGAGAAAAGGACAAGTCAGACACTTAAGACTGGAACTTGATATAATGGACTCTGGTATTTTGGACCAGGAGGGGATGAACTCAGCTTTGACATCCATGGTAAAGATTGCTTGACTAGGAGAATTTGGGAGGAGTATAGAGGATTTGCTGCTGCTACCTCGCAGATGCATGAGATACTCATATTTGAGTTCATCATGTCGGTTGAATAATTCTTTATATGAAAAGACAAAAGCAAAAAACTTAATTGTGATGCTTATGAGTATGGCAAGTATACTAGAAGCTCTTGTATTAGTTCTAGGAATAAGAGTTCTAGTGTGTTTGGCTTGAGATATTCTGATGTTTAAGAACCATTATAGATTTTTTGTGACCTTTATCGATTGTTTTTTTTTCATGTTATTTGGTTTTATTTGATGAAAAATTGGAGTGTTATACTTGCTTGCTTTAAAGACTTTCACAAGATAATCCAGACTCAATATGGTACAATAGTGAAGGTATTGATATCTGATAATGGGACAAATTATACCAACAAAGCGTTTGAAGAATACTTATTAGCCCAAGAGATACAACATCAAACTTCATGTCCATACACACCTGCCCAAAATAGAGTAGCAGAGAGGAAAAATATACATTTTCTAGAGATAGTTCAAAGTTTGTTGATTGTAATGAATATCCCAAAATACTTGTGGGAGCAAACCGTTTTGACAGCTGCTCAATTGACATGATGCCATTGAGGGTGTTGGATTGAAAGTCTCCATGTTAGATGTTGAAAGGAGATAGGCAAGATTCTTCCATTGAAAGTGTTTGGTTATGAAAGTTAACATGCCATCAGTAGGGAAGCTAGATCCCAGAGTCGTGAAATGTGTGTTCGTATGTTATTCTGCTACCTAGAGTTGGTATGTCATAAATGTGTCATTTAAAGAATTTGAACATTACTACACCCAGGTGGTGAACTATCCCTTTGACGACTCACTAGATACTGAGGATATGAGACAAGGGGTTGAGTAGTAATGGTGAGAGAGTAGTACACGTGGGAACGATGCTCTTGCCTGTGATGTGGGATGAACTTTTTGAGGAATCATAAAATGTGGAGAGTGAACCCAGAGACAGTGAGATTCATGCTGAATTTGAGCTAATTGTGTATACACGGACAAAGAAGCAAAATGAAAGAATGGTGCCTGCAATGCCACTCGTGCCAGCAAGTTTATTGTTTCAGTCTTTCACAATTCTTGAGACGTCTACACTATCCACTTTCTATTCAGAATCCCCATGTGATATGATTTTTCCTTCTAACCCCACAATTATAAGGAGGACTTCTCGCAACAATACGGGACATCCTTCCGATCGTTATGGGTAGGAACATGAAATTGCTAACTTTATTTTATATTCTAACATATATCCTTTATATGGAGCATTTATTGCATATATGAACATTGTCTTTATACCCAAGTGTTGACAGGTTGTTTAGGGCTCATCTTCTAGGTCTTCCCATATCTAACACTTATATTTTAATGTAAAATTTTCATACCTAGCACACATCTTATTTTTAACTAGCTCACACTTAAACTTGATATTTACATACACGATGCTTTGTTTTCTTAAATTCATGCTTGAAAATTCGTATTTTGTTTTACAAATTGAGAACTTTGAAATTGTTGTTCATGATGCGATGTTAACTTTTGTAGTTCTATGTGTGTAAATATGAAAATTTAGATTGCAGATACATAGATACATAAAAATAGTGTCTTACACATGTAAATACCGCAAAAGGACATTCTTAGCTCGCAATTCTTATGTTTTAATGCTTCTCACAACTAAATTTTTGTATTTACATAAGTAACACTTCAGTCTTTTAAACCTATGTGTGAGAATGTGTATTTCTTTTTCTAAAAATTTTTAATAGTACTATTATAGATAAGATATTAAGGAAGGTGAAAAATATAAGCATAAACTAATAATAGAGTCTAAGTTAATAATTTGTGACACTAAAAATTCTGCTTTAAGTGATCTTTATAATATATTAGATACTAAAAAGGGTGAAAAATCTATGTATAAACTAGCCAAACAAAGAGAAAAGAAAAATAAAGATTTAATTCAAGTAATGTAAATATGAAAATCAAAAAGTGTTTTTCTTGGAGAAAAATATTCAACATATGTGGTTGAGCTATTTTGATAAATTTTTTAATAAAATTTTGGAAAATACAATCGACCATTAGTGAACTTAATATCATTAATAGTAATAAATATTTTATTTGTACTGTCGTATTAGTAAAAAAGAAGTTGATGAGACTTTAAAAAATCAAGGCTAGAAAATAGGATTTGAAGATATCTCAATTAAAGTGTGGGAATATTTAGGAAATTTGAAATTTTCTTGACTTACTAAACTCTTTAATATGATTTTAGAAATTAAAAAGATATATAGGGTGTGGAGGAAGTGTATTTTGGTCCCTATTTTTAAGAATAAAGGGGATGCATAAAAGTGTGCAAATTATTGAGGATTAAGTTAATGTGCCATACTTTAAAATTACGGGAGAGGGTAATTGAACATAGGCTAAGACGTGATACAAGGATTCTCCTACTCAGTTTGGATTTATGCTAGGCAAATCTACCATGGAAGCTATACATTTATTGAGAGGTTTGATGGAGAAGTATAAAGAATGAGGATCTACATATGATTTTTACTGATTTAGAAAAAGCTTACAATAAAATTCCAAAAGAAGTCATTTGAAGAGTTTTAGAGAAGAAGGTATTAATATGACTTATATTCAAGTCATTAAAGATATGTATATTAGAGCTGTTACTTGTGTTCGAACAGAAGGGGGATTGACCAAGTATTTTTCAGTTGGATTATATGAGGGATCGACTTTAGGCCCATGTATTTTGTGTTTTAGTTATGGATGCTCTTATTGGACATTTGCAGGAGGATGCACCTTGGTATATTCTTTTTGCTGATGATTTCCTTATCGATGATACTAGAGAAAATGTTTAGGAAAAACTTCAATTATGGAGGTCTTCATTTGATTTTAAAGACCTTCGTTTGAGTAGATCTGGAAATAAATACATGGATTGTAATTTTAGTAGCAGTAGCTCTAGTGGCAAAATTGAACTATGGGTGATCAAATCATTAAAAGGTGTGATTGTTTTAGATATCTCGAGTCCGTAGTTCAAAGTGATGGTGATACAGATGGGGATGCTAATAGTAGAACTCAAGTTTGCTGGTTGAAGTGGAGGAATGTATCAGGCCTATGGTGTGACAGAAAAATACCGTTTAGACTGTAAGGATAATTTTATAAGATGACGGTAAGACCTGCAACGCTCTATGGTGTAGAATGTTGCCCTTTAAAAAAGAAGCATGCAACAAAGTTAAGTGTTGCTGAAATTAGAATGCTTAGGTGAATGAGTGGCTTGACACTTAGAGACAAAATGTGAAATGAATATATCTGTGATAGGGTTGGGGTAGCTCCAGTGGCAAATAAGATCACAGAAGATGTCTTAGATGGTTTGCTCACATTAAATGCAGACCATCTTATGATCCTGTTAGGAGAGTAGATGTTTTAGATTGTACTTATGATAAGAAAGACGGAGGCAGACCTAAAAAGACTTGAGCATATTGTATTAAAAAATGATCTTAATCTATTAGAATTAAATGAAAATAAGACACTCAATAGGACAATGTAGAAAAAGGATTCATGTAGCCGACCCATTTACTGTGATAACGACCTATTTGTTGTTGTTTTTATTGTTGTGGAGAAGTAAGCGATTACAAAAAATTCAATTTTTTACTTTTATATCGATTCACATAAAAAAAACCTTTTATTCGTTTCTCTGCTAGTGTTTATTTAAGGACCTTGCTTTTAGTTTGGAAATTCGCACGAGTAACATGCACTTTCTTGTAGACAAAACTAATACTCAAATTTTAAAAATTTTAAAAAATAAAAGTTAAATTAAAAAAAAAAAAAAACTACACTCAAATGTTAATGAACTTCCGTCTTCTGTCTATCTACTGTCTTCTATCTATTTACATGCCATTCACCCAAATCTATATAAATTTTACAACTAATGGTTGTTTTACCGTATTTTAAATGATTCAAGTGATGGAATGTATATAACAATATTTGTTGATTGTATTGTAAATAAGAAAAAAAAAATATGATTTTTCATGTATAATTGCCTATGTCAGTTTTTCAGATGATTCATTACACAAAACACATTAACCTAACGAGCTGCTACAGTTGCTGCTATCTTTAAATTTGATTTGATCTTCTTCAATCTTTAATCCAATTCTTTGACTGAACTATCCTGTTCCTTTCACCAGACTCATTAACCTAACGAGCTGCTACAGTTGCCGCTATCTTTAAATTTGATTTGGTCTTCTTCAATCTTTAATCCAGTTCTTTGACTGAACTATCCTGTTCCTTTCACCAGACATGGGTGTTGAGCGATACGTGCAGCTGGAAGGTTTAACAGAATTTCAAATCAACAAGGCACTCGAAGAGCTAGTGAAAGCTGGAAGAATCTCTTAAATCTTGATTCCGTCAAGTCTTTTCATTTCAGATTTTTTCAATTGAAATAAGAGTGTATGGTCTTCTTGACTAATGTGGAGTTCTCTCACAGCTTCCATCATCTATTTAGCGTTCAGCTATCAACTACTTGAATCATGAAGTGTGGACAAGCTTCTTTTTCTGAAAGCTATATATTTAAAACAAATTGGCTTAATATTTATGTTACCGGCAACTATTTCTAGTTGGCTGGGAAATTTCTTACTGCAACTGCGTTTGTGCTCTTTCATGTGATAGGTTTATTACATATCTTGGAAGGTTTTGTTGGAGTCCTGTTTTGACTGAATAAGATTTTATTCAGTTCCTGCAACAGGATTTCTCTGTTTTTTCAAGTGAAGATACAATTTCACCAACTATTATTCTTTTTATACAGTATTCTTTATCCCTTGCTACTTCTTCTGTCGGCGTCTTTCTTTGGGTAAATATTTACGTACGGAGAACGCCTGCAGCTCTCCGTGCGTAATCCCCTTCCAATAACCCCTAAATAACCTCTGTGAAGGTTATTGCGGAGTTATTTCGGTGTTATTTGGATTAAATACCCTAACATTAGTGAAAATGTAACAGGGGAGGGTACTGACTCAAAATAATGTCGAAATAACTCTCTTTAGTCCAATAGTTATCGAAAGACAAAGCATTCGAAAGAGGAAAACGAAATTTTCAAATAAATTTGTCTAAAAGTGTCAATAATCACCCTTCATAAAATAGTGAAAAAAGCATAACGAATCTTATACTTGTATGCTTTTCTATTAGTGTTTAGTTCCATCTGAGGAGAATAAAATCTCAACCAAAGTTTGTTGTAGATGAAGTTTGATTGTGATTTGCCATTTATAGTAGTTTGATCTTCATATTTTATTAGAAAATTATTTCTATCCTCAAGGAACTTATTGAATTCAACATGAATAATTTTATTCTCTTATGTAAAGGCTTATTTTATGGTTCACTATTATAGAAAAAGTTACATTTGAGTTATCCTTGTAGCAAATACATTGTTCTTACCAAGTTCATGGTGAAATTGGTGTATGCATTATCTTTTTGGGGAGTTCAAGCGATTGCTTCTTCAAGAAACATTGAACCAAGTCATTTTACTAGGTCTGTGTGATATTTAAGAGCATAGAAAGTTATTCTACTTTGTTGTTAAGAAAATTACTTGGAAAAAAAAATAAGAGAGTTAAACAAATATGCTATCTTGTAAAAATGAGTAATAAAATTTAATGGACTTTGTCTATGAAAACGCTCGCATTGATAATAGTATTTATATGACCAATGGTGCACCATTTGAACAATGCTTAAATTTATTGCCTCCTACTTTAATCTTCGCAACTTTCCTCTTCATTTGAATCAACATCGACAATGTTAGTAAGAATTAAATTCATTCTTATGTAGTATAAACAAGAGAAGTTTAGGTGATAAATGGAGAAAAGAAAACTTTTTTTCCCAAGAAGCCACCATGAAAGAAATGAAAGTTGCATATCATGACCTAACATGATATAACTTATATATTAAGTCAACTACTTAATAAAGATTTGCCCAATATATATTTAGAGTATTGAATTCAAAATTATTTGGGACACACTCAAGAAATAAAGGTTCGTAGGAAAGAGAAAGATAGAGAGAGCACAATGAACAGTAGAAATGCATAACCTTAATTTGAGAAATGACCCTCTATTTATAGACATAAGAGGGTTTAGATATAAGATTACAGTTATGCCCTTGCTTTATTTAAGTAATGAGATTTTTTTAGTTTTTTACAAATATGTGGTCGATATACTTACTGGTGGGCACTTTCAAGTAGGAGTCTATTGACCAATTTGTTCTTTAGGTAGTAGATCAGTCATGCTGATGATATTTAATTTTTGGGGGATCAGGAGTCAACGGATGAAGTGACCGATCGACCCAGGATCCCCATGAATGTATTCCTTTGACTTGGTCCCAGTGGATAATAACCGACCGGTCGATCCTTCTGCACTTCACTCACAAGTCTTCTTCAAACCCGTAGATTTTTTTCATGATTTGTGATGACACATTTTTTGTCTATATATTTTGTTTCCCAATTTCTTTACTTCTTGAAAGCAGTGTTATGATAAAAACAATGGAACCTTTCACAATACAAGATGAGATAAGTGGATATAATTTATTACAACATAATTGTTCAATAGTTGACTTTTCGAGATTTTTTGTGCTTGCAAATACTTTAAATAGGCATTGATGGCCTTAGAATTGCACCCGATCATTCTCCCTTCTTCCCTGTTGTATTGAATTTGCCCTTTTCACTAGAGTTCTTGAGATGGTTGGTAAGGGAACTCTCGAGACAAAGTCTCATGATAGGGAGGCATTGATTAGGGCTCTCGAGGGCATAAGGGCTAAACTTCGGAAAGAGGTAGAGAGGAAGAAAAGAATGACAGAAGAGGTTTGTAGGGAAGACAAGTAAGAAAAGGGCCAGGTTGGGTCCTCTGATTCAATTTTCAGGTCTCAATGGGAAGAAAATAAAAAAAAATCTATAGGACAGCTGATCGATCTTCCAGCAAAGCTTTCAACCACTATTGTCGAGTGGTTGCTTCTGCCAAGTCGCCCGCCTAGCACGTTATTAAAGCGCAAGTCCCTTCTGTCGCTGGGGCTAGTCAAAGGGAGACCGGCACTGACTCGCCACCAAGATGAATAAGAGGTTCTGAGCTCCCCCCGCCAATCGTAAGACAATAAAAAAGTTGTGAGGGTGAAGTCTATTTCACTTCATCCAAATGGAAACTGTTTGTTGGTATGGGTTTTTTTACTTTTCTTTTAACGTCTTAGTTTTCCTTTATATCATGCCTTTGAAGCAGCTATTGAGATCTTGATGGTAGACTTCCTTTCGTTATATCTTGGTGTTGATCCGCTCGGGGATGCAAAAATTGTGGATCAAGTAATTGTCAGAGGTGATAAACTCTGACATGATGAGCAGGAATCCGATCGTCAAGACGGTCCTACCAAGTTTTGTAAGGAGAGATTCAAAGAGCTTGAGATATCCTATGGATCCCTTGTGCGTTATTGGGATAAATGGAGGAGTACTTTGCTCGAGCCATAATACATCCCTAGGGAAAGCCCGTGGCTTAGCTAACAGTCTGGAGAGGATGGATCGAACAGAAGGGAAGGTGGCCACTTTGCAAGAAGAGTTTGCTTCTCTCTAAGTTGAGACAATTGCTCTCTGGATGGATATAGTGCATCTCCGCTTGGGTCATGATGGAATTCAGTAAGTTTCTTCAACATCATGGGTTCAGGAGGAGATCGGTCGAGTCGATCGCTTTAAGTTAGGTTTGTGAGGTGTTGTACAAGATGTTTTTTCCAATAAGGGTTTGTCCCTTATGAAGTCGCGAGTGATACCGTTGTAAAGTTCTTCCTCTCAAAATAGCTTTTCGAGAGGTTTTGATGTAACTTGCATTTTATATAAGAATTAACATAATGTGTTATTTTCAATTTTTTATTTCTTTACTCAAATTTTACTTTGATTTGGTTATCATATCACCATTCATTTCATAAGCAATGCGGTGTTTCTTATGCGCCCTTCGTATAAATAGGGTAAGATTTTGTGTGGTATGTGCATTATTTTTTCTTCCTGTCTACTCCAAGATTCCTTCACCTCTTTTTCCTTCTAATGGCACCAAATTTCTTGCTTGAAACTTTTGTCTCGATTGCCACCATCGAAACCTCCACATTGACAACGAGTGAGGAGAAAAACCTTCAAGATACGTTTCTTCTTAGCCCCTCAATTCAGTTTTGACCAACAAAAAGTTATGAGCGTGCCATAGACAGCTTTGCTTCTGACCCAGACTTGTATAAAGATAAGTTCAAGCAGGTCCTTTGGCTGTTGTTGTGCAAGGAGCTTCGATCAATCTTCAATAGATATTGAATCGTTCCTTTGCAGGTACTACTGAACTTAGTTATGGTGATCATGAACTTCATTCCTTTTTGTAGGTGAATGATGATCCTGTGGATGATTGAACTACTCAACCACTTCTTCTTGTTTAAGATCAACCGGGATGAGTGTGTTCAATTCACTAACTTTTACAAAGTTAAAATTTTGGGACTTGAAAACAAGGTCAATTACTAGAAGGCTAAATTTCTAGATATCTTCTGTACTAGTGATTGGGAAATTCACACTCTCCCATTGGAGTGTGAAGCAACGAAAATAAAGATACTACACAATTACCTTATGACTTATTGGGTGATGACTGAGGGTTAAAGCCTCTCCCTGTTTCAATTTCTTGACCCTAAGGTGGTTGACCATATGATATGGTCAGATTGTGAAAGAATCATGACCGAGGATTTGTGGGTTACTTCTGACGCCCATGAAGTTTCTAGGGAGAAGGTGGCTGCAAAGAGAGCAATAAGAAGAAACCTCAAGGAAAGGCCACTTTCTCTCAACTTAGGAGAGGAAGGGGTCGTTTGACTCACCTTGTTTCTGGTAGGGAGGAGACTGAATGTATCGGATTTTTTTTGTAGGTTACTTAATTTTTTCAATTGGATACTATTAATATGACGTCATTGTCGATGGATGATAGCAAAATTAATCTTTTTTCGTTGCACACAGGTGCTTTAGAGGGGAGTGAGGAGGACTCCTCAAGACTCTGAGCATACTTGCATCTAGCGACCCCGAGGAGACTTTACTAACCACTGAGGTGGAATCCATGACTCCTAATCATGTGAAATAGTGTTTATTGGTCTTCATGAGAGGAGAAAATCCAGTCAAGTTCCATATGCAATCCTGGTTGGCAACAGATCAAAGGAAGAGATCGATGGAGACACATTCAGAGCAGGAGATATTCTCACTAAGAAGGGAAGCCTCCTGCCCTGGACAGTGGGTCTCCTCTTCTTCCTACTCGAAGGAAAGGAAATGGGTCCTCGACAAGATGGACCTTCTCTCAGAAAAAAAGGAGTATGGGAGCGAACAAGTGGCCACTATGCATTGATCAATCGAGAGATAGACTGGTACCTGACACTCTTATGAATATCGATTATCCATACACCCTATTGAAATTTTTCAGTCTCATGCATTGAAGAAATCACAGCGGACCCGAGATCAATAAAAAATGATCCAGTCAGTTGATCACTATCACACCATGAATTGAGAGGCCTCACACCTCTGAACAGGGTGAAGGATAGGAAAGCCAAGGCTGAGCAGCGGGATGATAGGGTTGCTTCTAAAATTAAGAAGTTAAAAAGATGAGCTGTTGTAGCTGAGAAGAGGCTGAAATGTCTTTGCCTGAGAGAGAGTCATTTGTGC